ATGGGAGAAGAGAGAGTCATAGGAAATGATATTGAGGGGCGCCTGGGTGGCTCAGTCGTTAAGTGTCTGCCTTCTGCTCGGGTCATGATCCCAGGGTCCTGGGATCGAGTCCTGCATCAGGCTCCCTGCTCAGCGGGGAGCCTGCTTCTCCCTCTCCCTCTCCCACTCCCCCTGCTTGTGCTCTCTCGCTCTTTCTCTCTATCAAATAAATAAATAAAATATAAAAAAAAGACCTTGGCTAGGTCAGAGGATATGAGACTATGGAAGGGTCGAGAGTGAGGGAGTATGATGGTTTTTCAGGAACCCTGAACTTTAGGAACTTTACTTTTTAGATAACTCGTGTGGGTGTTAGGGTAGCTTACTGAGCTAAGCACAGTAGGAAAGGTAATACATTTTCTTAGCAGAGGAAAAAATGGGTTTAGTTTGGGACACATTGGACTTCTCTTCCCACACTTTTCCCTTTCCCATGGCTATTCCAGTGTGCTCTGACTGCTATCTTTGGATTCATTTTTGATTCTTTTTATTTCATATCCACATTCAAATTTCTATAAAATCTTGTCCATTTACTTTCAAAATATATCCAACAGTTTTTCACTCTCTTCAGAACCTACCACTGTGGTCTTAACCACTATCATTTCTCACCTAATTGTTATCGTAACTTCCTAATTGATCTCCCTGTTCATGTCCTATCCCCTTGTCTGTTTTCAGTCCAGCTTCTGAATGATTCTTATAATAATCGAGTCATCCATCTCTCTGCATAGAACTGTCCTTTCCCTGGAGTAAAAGTCATAGACCTCAAGGAGGGCCTGCATGTCCCCCTCCCCATACTCTCTCTCATTTTCTTCTATTCTTTTTCCTTTTGCTCACTTCACTCCAGCCGTATTGGCCTTCTTGCTGATCCTTGAACTAGTGAAGCGTACTCCGTCCTGAAGATACTGTATTTCCATTTCCTTTGAGTAGAGGGCTCTTCTCCCAGTCATTGACACAGCTCACTCCCTACTTTCAGGTCTTTACTCATATGTCATTATTTTAGTGAATCCTTCTCTGATCACCTAATTTGAAATTACAGTTCTCTTCCCTGCTGAATACTCTTTCCCTTTGATTCATTTGTCTCCTTAGCTTTTGTCACCATCTACATGTATGTTAAACGTATTTTATTTTCACCTCTTCCCACTGGAATTTAAGATCCGTAAGAATGAGGATTTTTTCCTAAAGGAGAACACAGGTAGCAACCTCTTCGACCTCAGCCGCAGCAACTTCTTCCTAGAAACATCGCCAAAGGCAAGGGAAGCAAGGGCAAAAATGAACTATTGGGATTTCATCAAGATAAAAAGCTTTTGCACAGGAAAAGAAACAGTCCACAAAACCAAAAGACAGCCAACAGAATGGGAGAAGATATTTGCAAATGACATATCAGATAAAGGGCTAGTATCCAAAATCTATAAAGAACTTATCAAACTCAACACCCAAAGAACAAATAATCCAATCAAGAAATGGGCAGAAGACATGAACAGACATTTTTCCAAAGAAGACATTCAAATGGCCAACAGACACATGAAAAGGTGCTCAACATCGCTCGGCATCAGGGAAATCCAAATCAAAACCTCAATGAGATACCACCTCACACCAGTCAGAATGGCTAGAATTAACAAGTCAGGAAACGACAGATGTTGGCGGGGATGTGGAGAAAGGGGAACCCTCCTACACTGTTGGTGGGAATGCAAGCTGGTGCAGCCACTCTGGAAAACAGTATGGAGGTTCCTCAAACAGTTGAAAATAGAGCTACCATATGATCCAGCAATTGCACTACTGGGTATTTACCCCAAAGATACAAATGTAGGGTTCCGAAGGGGTACGTGCATCCCAATGTTTGTAGCAGCAATGTCCACAATAGCCAAACTGTGGAAAGAGCCAAGATGTCCATCGACAGATGAATGGATAAAGAAGAAGTGGTATATATACATAATGGAATATTATGCAGCCATAAAAAGGAATGAGATCTTGCCATTTGCAACGACATGGATGGAACTGGAAGGTATTATGCTGAGTGAAATAAAGTCAATCAGAGAAAGACATGTATCATATGACCTCGCTGATATGAGGAAATCTTAACCTCTGGAAACAAACTGGGGGTTGCTGGAGTGGTGGGGGGGTGGGAGGGATGGGGTGGCTGGGTGACAGACATTGGGGAGGGTATGTGCTATGGTGCGCGCTGTGAATTATGCAAGACTGTTGAATCACAGATCGGTACTTCTGAAACAAATAATGCAATATATGTTAAGAAAAAAAAAAAGAAGATAGCAGGAGGGGAAAAATGAAGGGGAGTAAGTCGGAGGGGGAGACGAACCATGAGAGATGATGGACTCTGAAAAACAAACTGAGGTTTCTAGAGGGGAGAGGGTTGGGGGGATGGGTTAGCCTGGTGATGGGTATTAAAGAGGGCACGTTCAGCGTGGAGCACTGGGTGTTACGCACAAACAATGAATCATGGAACACTACATCAAAAACTAATGATGTATGGTGATTAACATAACAATAAAATTTTTTTTAAAAAAAGAGAAAATAAAATTAAAAAAAAGATTAAAAAAAAGGATGAGGATTTTTGCTTTATTCACTGCTGTGTTTCTAGCACTGAAAACTGTTAGCATATAATAGGTGCTCAATATTTGTTGAATGACCAAATTAATTAATGAAGTGCCTGGGATATCCTGGAATTGATGCTTGCTATTTATTTATACCCTATTTAATTTCACAAAGAAGTAGAGGCAAGATAGTGTCTAGTAGACAGGGGTGCCTGCGTGGCTCAGTTGGTTAGGTGTCTGCCTTCGGCTCAGGTCATGATCCCGGGGTCCTGGGATCAAGTCCTGCACCTAGCTCTCTGCTCAGCAGGGAAGCCTGCTTCTCCCTCTCCCTCTGCCCCTCTGCTCGTTCGTGTTCTCTCTTTCTCTCTCTCAAATAAATAAATAAAACAAACCAGAGCCCATTAAAATGGTTTAGATTGGAAGAGAGATTTGCATGAAGCCATGGCAGTACATGAGATAGCTTATAGAAAGTGTAAAGAGTCAGAAGAGGATTAGGGATGGGATTCTGGAAACACCTCCATGTAAGGGTGACCAGGGAGTAGCACTGTTCTTTGGCTTTGCTAAGCAGGAACCCTCCTCTAGGCCTGGTGCTTTAGAGGTCCTCATCTGGCCTTTCTTGAGTTTTACCCCTCCTGATAGGATGAAGATGTGTGTGTGTGTTTGGGGGGGGGTGCACAAGGGAACTAGGTCATTTGTTACCCATTTCTACATTAAGTTCTGAGTATTTGAACCCCAGAATTCCCTGCCCATGTGGCCCTTCAAAAGCCTCTTCTCTGATTCTCTCCTCTCCTGACTGAACTATGCTTCTCTAGGCCTAAGGGATGACCAAGCAACTGCTGTTTGTAGGCATGTGGCCAGAACCTGGACATGTGGGATGGGATGTCTACATATATACATATGAGGCTCCTTATTGAATGGAGTGGAACTAAAGATGGGAAGAGAAAAAGGGGTAAACTCCCAAAGAATTTGAGTGACTCCCTCGCTCCTATAGAACTTGAGGTAGTTTGAGAATTCCAGATCAGAACTTAGCCTTTTAGGTTGGTATAAAAATACATATGTCAAGATAGGAGGATTGAATAATAATTTAACAGCTTGTTAGCTTGATTTAAAACTTTAAAATATTTAGACATGTGGAATGTAGGCTTCCATTTGTACTCTTGCTCCAAGCCCCTTGAAAATTAGGGGTTAGCCTACAGGAGGGAATTGAAAAAGAGTAGCTAGAGAGGGAGAAGATAAATTCAAGATTGAGTTAATGATCAATAGTGTCAAATACTTCAGAGACATTAAGTCCTATGAAACAGAGGTATCCATTGGATTTGATTGACAGTTAGAATTTAGTAACAATTTCAGTTGGTGGTGATAGATGCCAAACTTCCATAAAAGGAGGACTGTCTGAGGAATTAGGAAGTGGAGACCAAAGATAGATTTTTTTTCCCCTAGATCCATCTCTGAGAAAGGAAAAAAACTAGAACGTAGCTGGAGGGGTTTTCAGGGTCATGGAGGAGGACTTTTCTATGTTTAAGATTAAAGGGTCTTGGGGCTCCTGGGTGGCTCAGTTGTTAAGCATCTGCCTTAAAAAAAAAAAGGGTCTTGGGGCGCCTGGGTGGCTCAGTTGGTTAAGCGACTGCCTTCGGCTCAGGTCATGATCCTGGAGTCCCAGGATCGAGTCCCGCATCGGGCTCCCTGCTCAGCAGGGAGTCTGCTTCTCTCTCTGACCCTCTTGGATCTCGTGCACGCTCTCTCTCTCTCTCTCTCTCTCAAATAAATAAATAAAATCTTTTAAAAAAAAAAGGGTCTTACAAATGCTGAGATGTTGAGGGAAAGGACCCAATGTTTAGTAAGAGAAGGTTGAGGAAAAGGAGGGAATAATTGATGGAGCAAGGCCTAACATCCAGTACATAGGTCATTAGATTCGCCTTTGAAGGGAGGAGGGCTGTTTGAGAAGACTTGGGATGTTTGGATGTATATGGAAGCTAGGTTTGGAGGGTGAAAGAGCAGGGAAGTGACTTAATAGGCAATATGTCATTGATTTTGTTTTACAGTAGTTTTTTGGGTTAGTGTTTTTAAATCTGATTTTATATTCCTGGGCATCAGGGCTTATACCTGCAGCCACCAAAATCCTGTTGGTTAATTGAAATATAGCCCATAATGTGAGGCATAGCCCATAGTATGTTGGATCTGTCTTTATTCAACAATTTGACAATTTAGTGGTTTCTTAAAATTATAAGTTGATAAAAACTTCTGATTCCTCAATATCCTAGAAATAATTTCTTTATTATGTTCATTATATAATGTGTGTTATCAGGATTTGGAGATGGCTTTTTGTAAGAAGTGCATATTGTCTGAATCACACCTATTTTGGGCAAAATATTTTTAAATAGAAGTATATTAATACTGTCTTTTTTCCCCCAAATCATAGTTCCAAAGAACTGCTGGTTTATATTTTAGCTCTTGCCGAGTTGTGAAAATAGTGAAGGATGATTATACTACTTAACCTCCAAATTGTAAGTAAACTTTATTTCTACTGCTATTACCTATATGTTAAGAAAACTGAAATTGAAAATAGTCATTACCTTATATGATAATAGTGAGCTTTAGTGTGCCATGGCCTGTGGATTTTTACTAGTTTTTGTTGTTAAGATACAAATACATCTTCTCGCATTGTCTTTAATAAGATCAAAAAAATGCTAATAGTCCTGAATGAATCTTAGGAGGTGTGAAATTTCTGCTTTTTCCCCCCAGGTATTTCTTTAATTGTGTAAATTTACAGAAATTCTTTATTTTATTTTCATATCTGTATAGTGCCAGTGGTCAAATTTAATATAGGGCATAATGGAATTAATGGAATGATTTATTAGAAATGTATATTCATTTCTCTTTAAATATGCTTAATTTTTCTGCATTATTTAATTTTTATATGAAAATCTGTAAAAACAATCTTTAATTCCTTTATGAAATATATAATCTACATAAAATCAAATAAAATATAACTATAGGAATAATCTAATGCACAAATCTGGATGATGTATATATATATCAACATTCATCTCTACTAGGGGAAAAAGGCTTGAATTATGTTTACTTGAAACCATTTCCTCTATTGAATTTTTTTTTTAAAGATACATTTATTTATTTTAGAGAGAGAGCGTGCACAAATGGTGGGGAGGGGCAGAGGGAGAGGAAGAGAGAATCTTAAGCAGACTGTTCACTGAGAGCAGAGCCCCACATGGGGCTTGATCTCATGACCCTGAGATCATGACCATGAGATCATGACCTGAGCCAAACACTGAGAGTCAGATGCTTAACCCACCGAGCCACCCAGGCGCTGTTGCTATAATGAATTTTTAACCAATAGCAAAAAAACTATTGAGGAAAGAATGATACAGTAGTATTAAAGGCATTCCAAGTGATTTTACTACTTTATTTTTAAACTACCCTATTTGAAAGTATAAATATATAACTCAAATTAATCCATTTTATAGTCCTTATAGAGTATTCAAATATGAACACAAAATGAGATTGCTACCATAAGCAAAAGACAAGTCTAATTATATTATTCAGATAAAGAAACCAAGGGAGCCAAAGAAGAATGAAATATTTACAAACCAATAAATCTTTTAATTTGTTAAATAGGCAAATAATTTTAGAAGTTGTCTTGATTTAGCATATTTTGTTACCAATGCATAAAAGATTTTTAAAATTTCTACCAAAATATTTCAGGAATAAAAGTACATCTTCATAACAAGACAAAGTTATAACACTTTATCCCTTAGAATGTAAATAGCGTAAGGTCATCCGTGTGCAATAGCTTGGTTGCAGTAAATTGTTTATGAACTTGACAGCTCTAAGAAGTAGAATGCTCATGACTGCCCTCTTTTGGCACTGGGCTTTGTAAGTCTAAGCTCCTTTTTCTTAGCTTACAAAAAATGTCAAAGATTAGATTGTAAAATAGGTTGTGCTTTATATCCTTCCTGTACTATCTTTAATAACTTTTCAAATTCTTCCTCTTTTTAGGCTCTCTGGTTAATCATCTTTAGAAGACTGGATTTCTGGAAATCTCCTTCACTCCATGTCTATTGACTTTTAAAAACATGATAATGCAATCCTGTAACACTGGCAATCATCCATGAACCTTTAAATTATACTGCTTAATAGCATTTGAAGCTTCCTCAGGGAATAACAATGACATCAGCAGTGGTTGACAGTGGAGGTTCTATTTTGGAGCTTTCCAGCAATGGAGTAGAAAATCAAGAGGTTAGGCATCCAATTTATTACATTTCTGTTTTGTTCATAGAAATCAGTATATGAACTCATTTTGAAATTAATGGGAAACAGGTAATTTTTGAGTAGAAATGTACAGTGCATGAAACTGTACATGTACATGTCATGTGCCCTCATATAATTTAGGTAGTAGAAGGTTGAGGTAGGTATTGTCAGGCTCACCCGAGTTGTTAGAACATGCATATATTGGAATGAACTGGGAGGAAAAAATTGAAAGAAAGAACACAGAAAGTATTAGTTGAGATAGACTTTAATTCCTGATAAAATTCATTGTTTTGGATTACAGAGTCTGTAGGTAAATACTGTACCTAAATACATAAATTAGATTCATCTTAAATTAGAATTTTGTATCTCCTTTACTTGTCATGTGTGCTTTTTTTGTTATTCTATCTAATTCAGTGTGGAGATCTATCATATTTTAATCTATATATATAAAGAATTTGGATGATTTGTAAATCAGAAAGAAAGGTTTTGAAATTTTATAAATGTAGAACTCTGCATCAGTAGCATATTTGGTTATTTTCTTGTTATTAGTAACAATTAACATTCTTTAATTGTTATTAAAGAATAGGAGGTAGGAGTAGAAAAATAACAGTACCAGAAACTTACGGACTTGCAGGGCCTGGCTTCTGTTCCCTCCATTCAGTAAAGACTGAATATTGGGAAGGATCTAAATTAAAAAATAATAATGCTGTCATAATAACAGACAAATATTTGATCAGAGATGAGGTGGGCAAATGGAGAGCTGTATTTAAAAAATCTATTTTCTCTATATTCTGTGAAGGATGTTGCTGTTACTGGTCCTTAGTACCAGCATAGTAGAATAGTGACAAGGACCAAGAAATGTTAGAATATTAGGCTGTGTATTCTGGAGTCTGCTTCTTTTTCTTGCTTGTTTGTGTCTGTTCAATCTTCCAAGGTAACTACGGTTAAATTCAGTGGGAAGGGGATAAAATGAAGGTACTCCTTTTTCTTTGTTCTCAGTGGACTTGGTAACCAGAATGTTCTTACTGTGTTTCAATCTAAAACTGATTTAAGGTCCATTAAGAGAAGCCACAGCTAGAGAATGTACTTAATTCTCATAATCAGTTTCTATTTGTTCCTTGAAGATTCACTTTCTATATGATCACTTCTAAGTATGATTCACCAAAGAGATCAGAGACTCAGGGGACTTCCATCCCCTCCACATCACCCAGACCAATTATTACTTCTTTTTCCAGTGCTTTCTCTTTGTTGTATAATTTTACTTTGTTGTATTTAACCCTAAGAAGGGAACCACCGAGAATAATAGGCAGAGTATATTTACCTTGTGCTGGTTTGGTGTCATTAATATGGGAAAAAGAGTACAACAGTTTGTTTCTGGAAGACACTATATTTTTCTTCCTTTACATGGAACCCAGGTGTTCATGGCCTGGAGAACTAATTATTATGGAAGAAAGAATCTGATAAATGAAGTCATTTTACCAAAGCATTATTGATTAATGATTTATGTGGTAGATAGCCTATGGGTAGTCACAGGCGTTTTAGGTAGTATGGCACTAGAATGGAGGAAATTATTCTTGGGGAACTCTTTCTTCAAATTATACTATGTAGATACACACTTGCTTTCATTTATTATTTGTTCCTTCAGCAAATATAAATTGACCACTTACTGTGCATCAAGTACTTTTTGAGACACTGGGAATAAAATATTTCAGAATGGCTATGAAGAATAAATTGGGGCTAGAGATAGATGGAGAGGTGGTAGGGGGATGTTTTAGTTAGGGTGGTCAGGGAAGCCTTTTCTGAAGAGGTAGCATTTTATTTTATTTTAAAAAATTTTACTTATTTATTTGAGAGGGAGAAAGAGCACAAGCAGGAGGAGTGGCAGAGGGAGAAGGAGATGGGGCTCGATCCCAGGACCCCAGGATCATGACCTGAGCCAAAGGCAGACACTTAACCAACTGAGCCATCCAGGCACCCTTGAAGAGGTAGCATTTTAGTCTAGACCTAAATAAAGTAAGGGATTAGGCTGTAGAAATAGAAACATCTGGGGAAGGAGAATTCCAGGAAGAAATTGAAAAGTGACTAGTATCTGAAATATCTCCTAATATTACAAAAAGAATTTTTAGGATAGTGTATGTGAAAGATAGATTTAATATCTATACTCTAGAATGTAGGGTGGGGTGAAAAAATGACCTGTCAAAATTTTAAAATCATAGCTCCAGAATCTGAAGAAAAAAATAAATGTTTAAGAAGTTGTGGGCATTTGGAGAATTATTGATGATTTTTAGGCTTTTTTTTTTTTAACTATTCCTAATTATAAAAATAATGCATTTTATAAAATGAGAATAATTATATTTCTGGCAAAGAGACAAAAACCAAAGATACTAACTCTAGTCTTACTAATGAGTATAGATGCAAATATAAAAAAAAAGTAATAAATATATAAAATGCAGTCATATATTAAATCCAGGACTAAATAGGATTTTAGATACACAAGGATAATTCAATATTAAAAAAGAACAATTAATATATATACCTCTACTAATAAGACGCATGACCTATGATATGTTAATAGGGATAAAATACCTGATGAAATGAGATTTTATGAAATTGAATATCCATTCCTGATAATATAAATGTAGATAAATATTTCTGTAACATTATAAAAAATAACTGTTACAAATCAGTAGCCAGAATCCTGTTTAATGGTGGAGTACTGAAGTATTTCCTTTAAAATTGGCAAGAAGATAAATATGGGCACTAGTGTAACTATTACTTAATATTTTCCTGTAATCAGACAAGATAATGAAAAATTATATAAACGTTAGAAAGAAGACCAAATTATTATCATTAGATAATATGATTCTCTACCTGGGAAAACCAGAGGAAGTCCATAAAACCAATTAGAACTAATAAGAGTGCTTGGTAGTTTAGTGGGTACAAATTAACATTAAAAATATCTAGCTTTCTTTTGTAAGGAATTAGTTAGAAGAGCTCATGGAAAATAAGATTCCTTTCAGAAAATTAACAAAAAAAATACTGAGGAATAGTGTTTAAAAGATATATGGGACTTCTTTGAAGACAATGAATTAATGATACTGAGGTACATGAAAGAAGACTTTGGTAAACAAAGATACGTACTTTGTACTTAGATAGGAGAGATGGAGTCAGTATTGTGGAGGATGTCATTTTCCTCCAGTTAGTCTATATATTTTATTCCATCTTTATCAAATGTTAGGGCATATTTGGGGGAAACTGATTATATGGACCTAGAGATTGTATGGAAGAATATATATGCAGGAATAACCAGAGCACTTTTTGAAAAGGAAATATATAGCAGGTAAGTCTTGTAGAAATGGGAATTAGTGCAGAAAAAAATAAAAAGAGGATTTAAATACATTTTTAAAAACACAGCAAATACAATTTTAGAGAGCATCTGTTTTCAGACAAATAAGATCAGGAGTTCTTCCACTTAGACTGTGATGGAATAACAGACCAGATTTTTATTCCCACCGTAATCAAGGAGGAAAATGAACAAAACATGTGAAAGCACAGTTTGAAACATGGTGCAGTAGTCTGAATGTTTGTGACCCCCCAAAATTCATATGTTGAATCCTAACCCCAAACATGATGGTACTGGGAGGTAGGGCCTTTGGGAGGTAATTAGGTCATGAGGTAGGAACTGTTATGCATGGGATTAGTGCTCTTATAAAAGGTTCCAGGGAGATCCCTTGCTCCTACTGCCATGTAAGAATCTGATAAGGAGTCCTTGACCTGGAAAAAAGACCCTCATCCAGTCATGTTGGCACCCTGATTTTGGACTTCTTGCTCCCAGAACTGTGAACAATAAGTTCTACTGTTTATAAGCCACATAGTGGTATTTTGTTGCAGCAGCCTGAATGGACTAAGACATTTGAACATCAGGAAGCACAGGGCTATGCTTCCCAAGAGAAGAGCAGGTGATCTCTGATTGTACTGACTCATTCCGTGGAGCCACTTTCTGGATCACAGTGTAAGGAGGAGGAACCCCAAAAAAGAGTGACAGTGTCACTGAATTGAGGAAATAAAATTTGAAATTTGTGGGTTTTTTTGGGGGGGGCAGCAAAGCAAGGTTTATTGAGCGATTTAGTAAGCAATAACAAAGTGATAGTACAAAGCTCCCGAGGAGAGAGGGGACCCAAGAGGGTTGCCTAAAATTTGGAATTTGGAGAGGCAAACACTAATTGGAAGTGCAGAGTATCTGAGGGGAAGAAGCTACTCAGAGGAAGAATACCAGAACTCAGCCTCAGGTTCTCTGGATTTTAACTGAATAAGCTTCCCAGATATAGTATGAAACTCCATGAAACCAGGCAAAGAATGACCAGAAAGGTATAAACTCAAAAATTTACTGAAAAATCAGAGTTCACTCAGGGCTGGGAGATATTAGAATTCTAAACAGTTAGAAGGGAGAGTCCTTGTTAAATGCTCAGGGCATTCCTAGAGACTCCAGAAGAGTTATGCCTTCCAGTAGGGGTAAAGTAGCCCTGGAATAACGGGTAGTTCAGAGTTGCCCTAAAAAGTTAAAAAAACAGGCCTTGAAAAAGTTGACCCATAAGCAACTTTTTTTTTAAGATTTTATTTTTCAGTAATCTCTACACCCAACATGGGGCTTGAACTTATAATGCTGAGATCAAGAGCTGCATGCTCTTTAGACTGAGCCAGCCAGGTGCCCCTTGACCCATGAGGAATTTAAACGTCATAGTAAACATTATTGAAATACAACAACAGGGGACGCCTGGGTGGCACAGTCAGTTAAGCATCTGCCTTTGGCTCAGGTCATGATCCTGGAGTCCTGGGATCAAGTCCCACATCGGGCTCCTTGCTTGGCAGGGAGCCTGCTTCTGCCTCTGCTTCTGCTGCTCCCCCTGCTTGTGCTCTCTCTCTCTCTCTGACCAATAAATAAAATCTTTAAATAATAATAAATAAAAAATAAAATTTATTTTAAAAAT